ATCTATCTATCTATCTATCTATCTATCTATCTATCTATCTATCTATCATCTATCTATCTATCTATCTATCTATCTATCTATCTATCTATCTATCTATCTATCTATCTATCTATCCATCCATCCATCTATCTTTTAAAGGTTTTCCCACATTACTGGAGAGCTTCATACAAACTATTGTCTGGGATTAATAGCAATATTTCCAACGAGGCTTTTGTCGTTCGAGAGGGTGGCATAAAAAGTTACGATGACCTCAATGCACAGGATCTATGTTTTTTTTTTTTACTTCACTTTCTACCAGAAGAAAAACAATTTGACTGTAAGTCCTTTATTTGCATATCACTATTTCTCCTATAAACACACGCACTTTACCAGATTTGTTTGCAAAGCAGGAATGCATATCTTGTTTGACTTGTATGTTTTCAGCAGAAGCAGTCATGAGGAAGTGTGATTTTTGCGCTTCCTTTCATGTGAAAAGAGCATGCTCATGTGGTCTCAGTCACCCAAATCATTTTTTTAAATTAAAACATGAAAAAAAAAAAAAGAATATGACATTTTTGTTAACGTCTGAAATGAGTGTCTTGCTTGAAAGGTCATAAGTTTTAGAACAATCTTTTTGTGGCACTTTCTTTCAAAGCCTGCTTTATTTACCAGTTTAAATGCTAACTGAGCCCACTGGGTATAGTGGCCCCAGTGAATTGGCCGATAAGATGGGACACCCTATGGCTCTGAAGGGCTCTCCCCACAGCGCTGAGAGCAGAGCCAGGTAAAAGCTTCTTCCTGGGTGTCCCTCTCATGCCATTATCCAAGCTTGGAAGGTGACGTCCATTCCTGCACCATCCCACCTGCAACCCAGCCTCACTGGCTGGATTCAGGGCCACTTTGCACAGAGTGACATGCAGCCAGCAAAAACCAGCAGCTGGCTAAGGAGGAACGAGCCTGTCCAGCTTTTGTGGCTGCAGCAACAGAGGGGATTTTGACTCCATGAGGACCCAATTAAACCTGTGAGGCCCTCTCAGAAGGAATAATAACAATGATAAATGGACCTCTGTGGCCAGCTTTAAAGAGGCAGGGAGAAATGTTTTATTGTGAAAGTCTGTCTTGACACAATTTTCTCCAGACCTCTGGTATTTGCAGTATCAGGAGAAAAATATACCTTTTCATGAGAAGCACTTTGAGAACTTGATTAGACGGAAATGCCACGTAAACACGTCAGTTGTGTTTTAATCAGTTATTTGAGCATGTTTGTGGGAGAATACACAAACAGGTAGAGGGTCTGGGTGCGAAAACACAACCACGTTAATCACAAGACATTTATCCGTTTAGAGAAAAGTTAACAGCGCTTCAATGAACTTCTTGCACTTCAAGCCTGAGTTCCAGTGTCAAACTGGTAACAAAACAAAATGTGTAGCAGAGCTGCCAGCTCAGCATACAAAATATCCCATATTTGTCTCGCCTAAAGCAATGCCAAACTTCACAAAGAACAACAGTGTTAAATTATTTATAGTCTTTTTTATAATCATAACGGAATAGATTTGTTGCAAACCTAACCAAACAAAGAAATAAAACCCTCCTACACAGTGAACGTCTTAAAACCTGCAAACTATCAAATACATGCTGCAATGTGCCTGCATGTGTAATTTTCATACATAGGTGACATAAAATAGGTGAAAAACGATCTCTCTCTTAGTCGACCGGCGGGTCAATTACACACTTGCGACTCAGCGGGTCTTTTTCCTCTGTCAGGTGGTAATTTACAGAAAAACTCCTTTAATTAGATAACAGGTCTCTGTATTTCAGATTTGCACTTTGCCAGCAGTTTATCAATTACTGCTTGTGGTTTCATGCTGCCAGTCAGTCTTTGTCTGGGTGCTCGAGCCTCCTCCTCGCCACGCTGCAGAGCCGTGTTATTGTACTTAAACAAATCAATTCTGTTGCAGTTGCCCCCCCCCCCCCTCCATCCCCCATCATTATGAACTGTTTGCAGTGCAGAGCACATTGATTTTTCACAGCCCTGGAAAAGCTGTTGATGAATAGCACAGAGGTATCTGGGGAGAATCTGGCTTTAAAAAGGAGGCACCCAGCGTTAGCCCCCCCACCACCACCACCACCACCTTCTTCTCCTCCTCTCCGTCGACCCATTGAGCCACCAGCACTCCTCCACTTTCTCTTTTCATGGAGCGCCACTTCCAGCAGGAGAGAAACGCAGCTTGAAAAATCTTTCAGTCATAAGGAAAGAGGATTTTAAAAAAAAGCACAAGGCGTGAGGGGACCGCCCACTCTCGCTGGATATGAAAACACACCTTGTTGTTTAGACAGATTTTATATTTGAAACGTTAACCTAGTCGTTTCAACGTGAGCATGCGATCAGGAGAATCCAGAGGAGTTCTGGCTTGAGATACAAATGGCTGGAATCTTTTGTGTCACCAAGCAGAAGACTGATGGAAACGATACTCACGCTGATTAGAGAGGCGTTTATTACTAATACTTAGTCACAAGCCAGGTGAAACACCAGTAGAATACTTTTTAAGTTTATTTATGGCCCAATCCAACAAAGTTGTTATCTGGACAGTTTATTTTTTGTTGTTGAGATGTTTCATTCTTCATTCAAAGGACTTCATCAGTCCGAGGAGCCACAACAAACTCAGTCCCATAAGCAGCACACTCACATAGTGGGCCAACCACTTTGATGGTGATGAGATGGGTTCTGGCGCCCGCCCTCTCCCCCGTCGACTCCTCTGAGGCAGCCGTAGCCAACGTGGTTCAAAACATCAAAGTTCATGCTTAATAATCCACAAAGTTCAGTCAGGTCATCTGGATAGCATCTTTTGTTGTTGTTGTAATTTTTGTGCCCACTTTGGGAGTGTGCTGCTTGTTGGACCGAGTTAGTTGTGGCTCTTTGGACTGTTGAAGTCCTTTGGATGAAGGACGATACGTCTCAACAAAAACAGAAACCGTCCAGATGACCTGACTGAATGAACTTTGTTGGATTTTTTTTTAACCTGGATTATTAAGCATGAACTTTGATGTTTATGGCCCAGTGTTTGAAAACCACTAAGAAAAGAAAAGAATCGAAATAAAATAAAACCCATTTCTATCATTCTAAACTTTGACACCCAGTTTTATTTCACTCAGATTATGAATATTTCTGTAGTTATTTCAGTAACACTTTACAATAAGGCTCCCCTTATAGATAGCTAATAAATAGTTTATAGATATGTTATTAATGCCTCTATAAACACTTTATAAATCATTAATAATTGTTTATTGCACATTAATTAAGGGTGACAGAGACAAAACTGATCAGTTTCTTGCCAAATCTGCCACCTCGATATTTCATCTAGAGTTGTTATATTAAAAATTTCAAACTAAGTTACTACCTTGTAAGCACAATAAGCATTTGTAAACCTATTTCTTTAGCATATAATATTGTACTTTATCACTGCATTATAAGTATCTACAACTAATATTATATCCTAAAAAAAATTAGGTTTACAAATGCTTATTGTGCTTACAAGGTAGTAACTTAGTCTGAAATGTTTAATATAACAACTCTAGATTAAATATAGAGGTGAACAGATTTGGCTCACTATTTGACATGAAACTTGTCTCTTTCTTACCCTTGATTAATGCATAATAAACAATTATTAATTATTTTATAAAATGTTTATAAAGGAATTGATAATGTATCTATAACCTATTTATTAGCCATCTATAAAGGCCACTTTATTGTAAAGTGGTACCGTTATTTTTTCTCAGTCTGAATAAGAAATATGTTGAGTTCAGATCTATGCTATACTTAATTTAATTCACACTCTAACTGGATCATATCCGATCATTTACCCTACGTGTGAGTGATTTGGGTCCAAATGGTAAAAGCCCTTTCACTTTGGCAAAGTGGTTAGCTGTAGCAATTACTTGTTTTATTGGGCTTTCCTGTCAACCGGGAGTGAATTGTGATTGTGTCATGGCAGTGAACTTACTCTGTGGTGGATGTTTATGATGGCACGCCGATCATGTGAAGTATCGGCTGCTCTTTTGATTTGTCCTTCGTGGGCATGAGAGCGTGAAGGAGCTTATCCGTGCAGGGTAGAAGAGTATCACAGGCGCAGATGGAAGCCACTCAAAAACCCAGAGGAATTTGTAAGAAGTGAAGTCACTGAGTGGGCTTGATTTTCAAGGGAAAATATGCAAATGTAATATTCTAGTGTTTGGAGATTGGTGGATAAAGGAGCCATGATTGATGTATTTTCGTGTCTTCCTCTGCTTTTTTTTTTTCCAGGGCCAGAAACTGTGAGGTGCTGGAGTGTTTTTCCACTTGGTGTTTGAATGGGTGTGGGGGTCTTTCTGGTGACAAATCACGGATTGAAAACAACACAGGTACGTCTTTTTTGTTATTATTTACCGTATGTATTCAAAGCTTAAAGCCAGGCTGAAGTCGGCGGAATTATAATATGCACTCATTTGAAATGTGTCCTCTCAAACTAAACAAAGGAAGTGTAGTTTGTTGCCTGAAAGCTAGCCTTTTTGCTACTGAAGTGTTGCTACAAGGCAAATAAAGGTTATCTAGTTGTTGTTGACCAGTTGCATCTGGATTTACAATGTTGTTAACACATTACATTAGTTAAATACAAAATATTACTAAAACTACACAAACAGTAAGTTGTCTTGATTTGTGTTTTCATTAAAAGGTCTTATATGAATGACGCACACAGACACACAAACCACTACCATTGTATTGTTCACGGTAGAAATGCTGTGTTGTTGCAGATTATTGGGATTATTAGGTGATAGTGTAGCAATGATCCAAACTAATTGCAAGTATTTTGTACACTTAAAATTGAATATTATGTGCATTATGTATTCCTCATCTCAAAAAGAAAGTCTAGGTAAAAATAGTGAAATGGCAGCACATCCAGTGTTTATTTTTATAGCGTGGCTGACTTTCTAAGAAAGACTGTATGAAATGTTGAGAACCAGTGACAAATAGTGAAACTTCTAACCCCTCTGTAATTTTTTTAATACTCAAGGTTTTTAACTTTTTAGCCCTGCTTTAAGTAGCAAGATATTTGTGTTATATTGGGTTCATCAGCATGATAGTAACCCTGTGAAAACAGACGTAATCTTCCACCTCTTTGTTTTGAAAGGGACTGAGTAAAGAAAAAGCTTTATTTTCACTATTTTTAACTTTTATTTGAACCAAAGTAGGGATTACAAATATTGTGAGATTATGCCAGTTCCTACTTTACCTTTTTTTTAAATCATTAAACTTTCAAACTCACAAACCAGCCACTATAGAGCACAAGCTAGTCTATTTCTAATGCTAGTCCCAAGCCCAGGTAAATGACAAGGGTTGTGTCAGGAAGAGCATCCGACGTAAAACACTTTTGCCGAAACTAATGTGGGAGTTCATCTAAGTGGCAACATACTGGATCGGTTGAGGCCCAGGTTAACAACAACCGCCACCAGTGCTGTTGACAAACAGCATGTCTGCGGAAATTGTGCTACTGTTATTAAAGTTCATGCTCAATCATCCAGGAACCAAATGCAATAATGCTCAGTCAGGTCATCTGTCCTGTCTAAAGTTAGAGAGGTCAGACTGAGATGGTTTGGACATATCCACAGGAGGGACAATGGGTATATTGGTAGATAGATGTTAGAAATGAAGCTGCCAGGAAAAAGACAAAGAGGAGAGATATGGATGTTGTTAGAGAGGACATGGAGGTAGTTGGAGTGAGGACAGAGGATGCAAAGGACAGAGTGAAATGGAGGAGGATGACTCACTGTGGCGATCCCTGAAAAGGGTAATACTGAAAGAAGAAGAAGAAATGGAATTACATTAGAAAAAACGGAATTACATTAAGTCAAAGTGAAAGTGGCCAAAGCAGAAGTGGCAGAATCACATTTGAAAAAATGGAACTACGTTTGAAAAAACAGAATCACATGAGCAAAAACGGAATCACATTAGAAAAAACAGAATCACATTAGAAAAACAGAATCACATTAGAAAAAACAGAATCACATTAGAAAAAACAGAATCACATTAGAAAAACAGAATCACATTAGAAAAAACAGAATCACATT